GTCAATGGCAAATATTCCACGTATATTCAGGTCGAGAACACAATGTCATTTTTGCAAAATTGGATAACCGGGATGAACGACGGGAAATTTATTTTGCCACTGGAAATTTTTTTTTAGAAGGGCAGACATTTTACATTGTAACAGGCAACCTATGAATCACTAAGTGAGTTGAATTTTTTTTCAATCAGCAGAGGCCCTCACATTCCACTTAAACGAAACATCGCGACACAGAGACGTTACCGTTGTTTTAGAGATTGAAATTTAAGTTGCGTCGATATCGTTTCTCGTTCACTAAATTTTGTATTTTAAGATATTTTATAGATCAAGATGATATTTTGTAGAAATCGTTAAAATAAACTTATACAGGTTATCGTGCTTGTTTTGGAGTAAAATGGGTATCAAAATAAGGAAAACACAACTTGGACTTTCATAATGCATTTAAAAGTCTGATGTATAAAGGAGTTTTGTATACAAAGAATAAACACAAGCAATCGAACAAAAGAACGAAACTAACGAACAAAAAAACAGCCTAATGATGACTATACAAATCTGATTAAAATACAGATCATATGTCTAAGCTTTGCTTAACAGGATCTGACAATATTCCTTCCTACTTTCTGGTTCAAAGATCTTTCGGGATGCTCTGGTTTTGTCGGACCAATACACACCTTAAACAAGAGTGCACATGCTGAAATGTCTCGCCTACTATACTGACCATTGATTTTCTGTTGATAGTCCTACATAATTATAAAGTTTTACTACAAGTATCACATTCACATTTATGATCCAAGAAAATGAGGTCAAGGTCAGATAAACCAAGCCGGAAATACATGTACACCTTTAATACAATCATTCCATACACAGAATATAAATAACATATTGCTTATAGTATAAGAGAAACAGACCAAACCATGGAAATTCTATACTGACCAATGAACCATGAAAATGAAGTCAAGGTCAGATGAACCCTGCCAGACAGACATGTACACCTTTAAACCATTCCATGCATCAAATATAGTTGACCTATTGCCTAAAGTATCTAAGAAACAAAGTTAACCAGGAAAACTGAACATTGACCAATCAACCATGAACATGAGGTGAAGGTCAGATGATACCTGCCAGACAGACATATACACCTTACAATCATTCCATACACCAAATATAGTTGACCTATTGCTTAAAAATTAAGAAAAACAGACAAAAAACAAAAACTTAACATTGAGCAATGAACCATGAAAATGAGGTCAAGGTCAAATAAAACCTGTCAGACTGACGTGTACATCGTGAAATATTTCAATACACCAAATATTATTGACCTACTGCATACAGTATTAGAAAAACAGACAAAAACACAAAAACTTAACATTGAGCAATGAACCGTGAAAATGAGGTCAAGGTCAAATGAAACCTGCCAAACTGACATGTACATCGTAAAATATTTCCATACACCAATATAGTTGACCTACTGCATACAGTATAAGAAAAACAGACCAAAACACAAAAACTTAACATTGAGCAATGAACTATGAAAATGAGGTCAAGGTCAAATGAAACCTGCCAAACTGACATTTACATCGTAAAATATTTCCATACACCAAATACAGTTGACCTATTGCATACAGTATTAGAAAAACAGACCAAAACACAAAAACTAAACTATGACCACTGAACCATGAAAATGAGGTCAAGGTCAGATGACACCTGCCAGTTGGACATGTACACCTTACAATCATTCCATACACCAAATATAGTAGACCTATTGCTTATAGTATCTGAGATATGGACTTGACCACGAAAACTTAACCTTGATCCATGAAATGAGGTTGAGGTCAAGTGAAAACTGTCTGACAGGCATGAGGACCTTGCAAGGTACGCACATACTTAATATAATTATCCTATTACTCATAATAAGAGAGAAATTAACATTTCAAAAAATCTTAACTTTTTTTTCAAGTAGTCACTGAACCATGAAAATGAGGTCAAGGACAATGGACATATGACAGACGAAAACTTCATATTATAAGGCATCTATATTCAAAGTATGAAGCATCCAGGTCTTCTACCTTCTGAAATATTAAGCTTTTAAGAAGTTAGTTAACGCCGCCGCCGCCAGATCACTATCCCTATGTCGAGCTTTCTGCGACTAAAGTCGCAGGCTCGACAAAAATTAGAAGGCTGCAATTTCATTCACTGTTGTGACAAGTACCAGAACAATAGAAAGTAAAACTAAAACGGACTGTTGTCAGATCTTTGTAAGCAAAGATGGACGCAGGATCTGATTTTAATCAGATTGTGATAAAGAAAAAAACATCGAATTTGACTTCAAAAATATTCAGGATTTATTTTTTTTTTGCCTTTTTGAAACCAATTGTTAGAGATAAGTTCATCTCTTAAGGATCCAAGACAGTATTTGGTGGGTTTTTTTTTTCAGACGCACTCATTGAAAAAAAAATGTCCATCCAATTCCGATCGATAAAAAATTACATAATTAAAAATTAAAAACTGGTTCGCTTTTCACTTTTCAATCAACGAATAGAAATACACAACTCTATATAACAATAAGGAGATGTGGTATGCCAATTGCCAATGAGACAACTACCCACCATAGTTCAAAAGAAGTGGATGTAAGCAACTATCTAATCAATTTATGAAACATTTATTAAACTTACATGAAAAAACAAAGAACAAATAAAATGCTTCGCCGAGCGCAGCCTGATACGACCGCAGAGGTCGAACCCTGAACAGTTGGGGCAAGTTTGGACATAATATTCAAGCTTGATACTGTCTGAATTTGGATTGTGATCAAATTTTTGACATAAAATAGGTTTCTGACACAAAATAAATGTGGTCAAAGATCTTTAAAATTTGAAATGGGACATTTAATTTACCTAGTATGGTCTGATATCCAAAATCTAACAACATGGTTAGATTCGGCATATAAAAAAACACCAAAAATTTAATTTTAGTTGAAATCAATCAAAGTTTAATTTTGGACCCTTCAAACCTTAATATGGACTAATTTGAAAACAGGGCCAAAAATAAAAAATCTAAATGCACAATAAGATTCAGCATTTCATAGAGCCGCAATAATTTTTGATGAGATCAAACAAAGTTTAATTTTGGACCCTTTGGACCTCAATGTAGACCAATTTAAAAATGGGGCCCAATATCCAAAATTGTAATACAAGGTTAGAACCCCAAAAAATTAAAGACTAAATTTAATCCCATTGAAATTGGTTAAAAGATTTGTATTTAATTTCAATTGAAGATTTCTTGTAATTGCGCAATACTGTGCTATTGCGCAATACTGTGCTATTGCGCAATACTGTGCTATTGCGCAATACTGTGCTATTGCGCAATACTGTGCTATTGCGCAATACTGTGCTTTTGCGCAATACAGTGCTGTTGTACAATACTTAGTTAATCTGTTATAAATAATAATTTACACACCCTGTTTGGTGTGTATCTCCTGCCATATCAGTAGTTGTTGCTTTTATATATAAATCAGAAATAATCAATGTAAAAATGGAAAAATTTTGGGAAAAAAAACCCCAAAAATTATGAAAAAAAATCCCCCCAAAAAATGTGTTCCCCCTCAAAAAAATATTTTGAAAAATCTTGAAGAAAATAGTATGAACCCCCAAAAAAAATTGAAAAAAAAATCCCCCCCAAAAAAATTTTTTCAAAATAAATTTCAAAATTTTGAAGAAAAAAATATGAACCCCAAAAAAAATTTGAACCCCCCCCCCCCTCCCCTTCCAAATGTTTTTTGAAATGTTGAAGATTGTTTTCTTTTCAGGAAAAATGTACAATTTCAGAGAGTTCCATAAACTTTAACACAAGTTATTGTCTGGAAACTAGAAAAATGCTTGTTTTTGGCCCCTTTTTTGCCCCTAATTTCTAAACGTTTAGGGCAATTACCCCTAAAACTCAATCCCAGCATTCCCTTTGTGGTATGAAACCTTGTAGTACAATTTCAGAGAGATCCATACACTTAAACACAAGTTATTGTCTGGAAACTAGAAAAATGCTTGTCTTTGGCCCCTTTTTTGCCCCTCATTCCTAAACTGTGGGTACCATAACCCCCAAAATCAATCCCAACTTTTCTTTTGTGGTATTGAACCTTCTGGTAAAATTTCATAGGGATCCCTTCACTTAAACTAAAGTTATTGTCCGGAAACCAAATGTGTCTTCGGACGACGACGACATGATTTTTTGCGGTCGTATAAAAACATGTCAAAATTTGACAAAGGGAATGTGCATAATTTACACAGGGGATACATTGTAACCGATTTTTTTTTGTAGTTTTGAAGATCATTAGTTTGCTAATTTAATCACAAGTTTTTCATGTGTTTGATTGGGTGATTTGGAGGGTTGGTACAAGGTGTAAATTAAGAATATTGAAAATGTATCTTTTGAAAAATTTAAGGAAGAATGGTACTATGACAAAGTTATGTCAAATGATAAAAATAAATAACGTACATATAGACTGTTCAAAAATGTATATTGTATAGAAAATTATCGGATTTTTAATATAACTGGTAGATACAGGAGTGCTTTAGATGGTTGGAATCTCAAAACAATTAAACCCCTTCACGTGTTTATGAGTCTGCAAGAACCTCGTAAGGTGTTCCGTCTCTTGCCATATCTAAGAGTTTTGGGTTTTTTCTTTAGTTTAACTCATTTTTGGGGTTTTTTTTAAATCGCGTGTGTGTGGAGGTGGGGGTCGGTAAGGGGGCATTGGGTAATTAAGTCCGATCATAATTGTCTTTGTTCTATTTATTAACCATTTGTTTTGCCTAGGGACGAGTTAGACCTTTGCTTATTATATTGACAACTGATTGTTGTTGAAGAAAATATTGAACTTTTTTGGTTTCCATGGACATCTGTCTCATTGACGTATCCCAACATCCCAACATCTCACTTTTTTTCTTTAAATATACAAAATCGACGTAAAATTACCGCATTTTGTTTCACCTGTGATGCATAAAAATTCCAAGTTATCGCAAAATTGTTTTATTATGGTCAAGTATCACAAAAAACGAGGAACTGCAGATATAATTGCGATATACCATATACAGTCACTTTATAGCTTATATATATAAGTGCTTTTCGGAATACTTGTATAAATCAATCATATCATATATCATCCCTTTTCAGCGCAAAAGGTCAATTGGTCAAAGTTTCAGAAACTAAACATCTCAATATACTGAAGTTTCAAAAGTTCATATAAAGTCAAAGATCACACTGATCGATATTCTTCACAAGCTTTAGTAAATTGTTTCTTTGGAGTATGCTAGACAAATTAAAAATCACTTCATTTATTTGTGAATATATTGCTTCATGGGTGTTTGTTAAACTATTGCAACATCCATTGGGCTTCTATGATAATCCTTCTACAGGGCAAACTTCTTAACTTATGATTGCTTTAACAGTTCCTTTAATGAAAGCTCTGCAGATCGGACAACGTCTTAGCGCAGGGGCACAGTTTGCACACGCTGCCATGTGCCCACATGGCAAGAAAACGATCGACACTGGTTCATCTAGACATATTTTGCAAGTTTGTTGGTCTTTTAAGTTCCTATTTTCTTCTTCAAGACTTTTTATTGATACTACAAAGAACAAAAAGATACCAAGTTCATTACATAAAGAATACCAATAAAGTAGTGTAATAAATCTCACTTCAGTCTTGATTCTAATTTTAGATTTAAAAAATGGTTGAATAATAGCAAACTATTTTATTGATATATTTAGTATACTAATAAATGTTACATAAGCTTTACACACTGGGAAAAGATGCACCGATATAAACAAGTAAAATATAGATCTATAGGGTTATATATTTGTCTATGCGGCAAAAGGATAGTAGGAGAAAAGACAAAGTTTACAAACTTTTAAATTTAAATTTAGAGGCATGGCCCTAAATAAAACGGGAGAAAACGGAGTGCAACTTTCATGTACTTTGGAAGAAAACATTTCCTGGATATACTTTAACTTTACCAAAAACGATGCTTTTGTATGTTAAACAATGATAGCGTTATATCATTTCTTCCAACCAAATTTTCTATTTTCATGACATTTCTACGAGTAACCTCAAATTGCGCAGATTGGCCTAATAGCAAAGCAATATTTTTTTGGGTTAATTAAGACATGTGTTTTTTTCTCTGATTTTATGTTCATGCACTGCAGGTTGCACTTTGTAAATACAGCTGTTTCACAAACCACGCCTCTTTTGGGGAGATATATAATAGTCATAGATATTTTGTTTTGTTTACATACTGGTTCCCAGATATGATCTCTATGTTTCATCTCGTAGAGACGTAACTTGGAGATGTCACCAGTATAAATACACATGAATAGCGGCCAAATTGAAATCTGTGGAAGACCCAAAGTGAAGGGAGTGAAAAAACAGAATTTTAGTACAAGTTTAAAGTCTTAGAAGTTCGGGGCATATAAATGTTAAAAATATGCCGCACAGCCCTATATTTTGACCTTTGAAAAAATAGTAGTGCATATGAGCTTTCCATTTTAGGATATAAATTTTTACGAAACTTCCTATTAAAGTGGTACAGTTTTAGCCGTAAAAGGAGTTCCTATGCACGGGAAATTGTAATGTCTGTATTTACAGAATTGCAACCTACAGGATATGTATTATTTCGGTCCATGGAAGACAAACTCGAAATTGGTGTGTTATATAGTTTTTCTTCAAGAGTAAAATGAAATACACTTACATTCAATGTTTGGGTCAAAATGTTCCTGTTCTTTTTTACGTGTATTGTGAATGTCATTTTTGACTTTTTGTGCTGATGGAGAGCTACTTTTAACCGGTAGGCTACAAGCCGATTTATTGTGTTCTCTTTCTTCTTTTTGGTCAATTGTTTCAAACAACAAACTAGCTGTTATATCTGAAAGAAACATCATAAAATATTTATATACATATGCATATGGGAAAATAACATTGCAATCTGATATATTTTTGTATATTGCAGTATCACAAGACAAGAACATTACACGACCGCTTGTTAGTTCATTTAAATATGCTACAAAGATACATGTTAGATTTATCTTTTAAATAGATTTTTTACTGCATATTTGAATGTTCTATATGACTCAATCTTCCTCTGAACAATTTATTGTTCCATTCATCTGCATTAAGGGAGCTACCATTTGATTTTTCTCGGGGGTGGGGGGGTGGGGGTAGGATAAAAAAGGCAGGACAGGAGTTTTGAGTAAAAAAAGGCAGGATAAGCAACTTGGCAAAAAAAGAAGGCAGGATGACAAATTATGTAAAAAAAGTCAGGATAAATTAATAAAAAAAAAGGCAGGACGGAACAGAGTGAAAAATAAAAAGGCAAGACAGAGTTTACAACTAAAAAAAATGCAGAACAAAATTTTTCATCCTAGAAACCCCCCCATAAAAATCATATGGTAGCTCCCTAACTTAACATTTCTACTTATATTACCTTGAATTCCAATTGATTGTAAGCTCGTATAAGCTGATTTGACTACATTTGGTTCATATCCAAATTGTAGAATTGTTTGCACTGCTGGGTTATTGGTGAAACCAATTAAACCTTTTGACTCCATCTTCTGTTCCTCATGTGTGCTCTGTAATATCAAATATAATTCAAAATTTAAATTTTCGAGCAATATTATTTATTGGATTTCTTGGATGTTAAGTCTACACTAGTCCATCATTCACGAAGTTCAAAAGTCAGGCAATTTAATTCCATCATAAATGGGGAATGTGTCCCATCAGATGATGTCCCCGCTTATATATACAGTTATAAAGGGACATAACTCAAGAAGGTAAAAGTGACGCTACCTAAATTTGTACTTGATCTGAGTTTTGTGGTAATAAACATTGTGTATAACTTTCATAACATTTGGTTGAGGCAAACTTAAGTTAGAGAACGGAAACAAATATTTCAGCAATTTTTCCATTTGAAAAGGGCATAACTCTAGAACACGAAAAGTGACGCCACCAAAATTCAATTTGATCTGTGTTTTGTGGTAATAAACATTGTGTATAAGATTCATAACATTTGGTTGAGGCAAACTTAAGTTAGAGAACGGAAATGAAAAATTCAGCAATTTTTCCATTTGTAAAGGGCACAACCTTAGAAATGTGAAAGTGACGCCACCCAAATTCACACTTGATCTGTGTTTTGTGGTAGTAAGCATTGTGTATAAGGTTCATAACACTTGGTTAAGGCAAATTGAACTTAGAGTACGGAAACGAAAAATTCAGCAATGTTTCCATTTGTAAAGGAGCATAACTCTAGAACAGTAAAAGTTCCGACACCAAAATTCAAACTTGAACTGTGTTTTAAATATTAAGCATTGTGTATAAGTTTCATAACATTTTTTGAGAACGGAAGCCAATTTCGGGACGTACGGACGGACGTACAGACGGACACGGGTTAAACTTAAAGCCCCCTCCGCAACGGCGGGGGGCATAAAAATGTGATCAATATCAATATTTGTTTTGATAGACAATTTAGCATAACAGTACTTAGTCTTACATTTGGAATATTTTCAGGATCCTTTCCTTGTTGTACATCTTCTATAAACTTTTCCCCCATGCACTGTATGACGAATGAGCATTTTGGATACCAACGCGCATGCTCTGTCCATGGCAAATCCCCAACTTCCCATCTACGAAGACCACCTCCACAAAAGAAACATCTACAGTGATCTTCTATACCTAGTAATAGAAATTGTGCAATTAGAAAATAATTTAATATAACATACATCTGCTAATTATCAATGTCATCCATGACAATTTTTAACGAATGACATACGATTTTATTATTTCTATGTCCCGATCTCTTATAAGATATCAAGTAGACTGACCTCTTTCATATAAAACATATGAACTGTAATGATCGGTCGCTTGCACAAAATCTCCCTCATTGCAATTATTTACGACAAAATGTATGTACCGCTATAGATCTCTATAGAAGCGGTGTTAAACATAGAACACTGGACACTTTTAATTTGCAAAACACTCATTTGCAAATCCGCCGCCGCCTCTCCTTAGAGCTACAGTGTCGTGTATATAACCAAAATGTGCGGAATTACATGGGATTCAATAAATTCATTGCTTTTCTGCTGTTATTATTATATCTATTTTGTAATTTGATTTAGAAAAACATGGGATTTTCAATATCCCATGGGATAGGGCAAATCCCATGGGATTGACCATTATCCCATGGGATTTTGGTTAAATCCCATAGGATTTTTTGGGGTCCCATGGGATAATTGTAGTCCCATGGGATATTTGTTGTCCCATGGGACTATAATTATCCCATGGGACTATAATTATCCCATGGGATTTTTAATATCCCATGGGACAAAATAAAATCCTATGATTCAAATTATAAATATACAGTAAATAAATGTGTATGTTACAATGAATTATGTTTGGTAGTAAATTGTTTTAAGATGAATCTTTTTAGTTGAATATCTTTTTTTTCCTTGGTAATGTTAATGCAATTATATTGTTCTATAACTGTTCAAAACTAAACTTTTAAACAACAAAGCAGATAATGTAAGTATCAATATATGTTTATTTATGAATTCTAGAATACTTTTTTGAAACACAATTTTTTCCCATTTGAAATCAATGAAAACTCTATTAATAGGCTTAACATACTAGTAGCTTTTTACATAAATCTATTTTTTTTCAGGATATCCCTCCACCCAAAAAATTAATAGTTTCTTATCATCCAGCATTGTGTGATCGTAATGTATAGTCCACTTTTTTGCCATTCAGCACAGAACATTGTCATTATTGTGGTTTTAATATCTTTAAATATTTCATAGAACTTCCAATTCATTGGCTGAGTGATGAAAATAATAACTGATCTGACTTTTGTCTTTGAATTTATTTTGGTCTTGTTTCTGTGTTTTCTCCTTTTATTCTCAGTGATGAATTTCAATCCTTCTGAAAAAGAACCAATAAAATCCGAAGTTATGGATAATAAAAAATTGTTTGCATACATGTAGCAAGAACATATGATTTTCAATAAAAATAACTATGCGGTATGGATTTTACTGATTGTTGAAGGTTGTCCAGTGTCATCAGTTGCTAACCTCCTACATCCTTTGGTCTCTGATGGAGAGTTGTCAAATTAGCAATATACCACATCTTCCTATTTTAATATTATATAACAATCAATTTATGTATTCTTCTTTATAACATTTGGGTATTTTCCCCAGTTATATATATATAGATCAATGTTAAAACTTTAGGCAATTACAATAAAATTCCATTTTTCACAAGAATTTGCAATATATTATACAGAAAGCCAACAATAGAAACAGCACTTCTTTAAGCTTCTGAAGTTCTGAAAGAGTTCCACTTGTGTTTTATTTCAATTAGAAAATACATTGAACTCTTTGGACATGTTGGAAATTATAACATTGATACAAAAAATTATATTATTTTTTTTTTCTTATTTTTGTGTTGTTCGGTTGCTGTCTCATTTTTATATATGGTTATACATATATCCTAAATCTTCTTTTTTATATACCTAATCATTAATACACAATGTACATGATGTAGTAAAAATGGGATATTTTTTATTTTGATAATCTCAAAACATTATTATTCTATCAAATAACTTATTTCCAAGTTCACAAAACACCAATGTGTCAGATATTAATGTTAAGACATGTATAAACATGATCAACAAGCAGTTGAAACAAGGAATTATTTGGATCTGGAATAATTTTGAATTCTGGAAAATTGATGAGTAATTTATGATGAAAACTAACCCAACTAAATAGGGTTAGCCATGCACGCATGGCTAAGGGGGGTTAGTTAGTTCATACTGAAATGATAGTGAAATTAAAATTAACCTTAGCCATGGCTAACCCTATTTAGTTGGGTTAGTTTTCATCATACATTTCTAATCAATTTTCCAGAAGTCATAATTATTCCAGATTTAAATAATTCCTTGTTTTGACAGGATGTCATGCAAAAATCTCACTTATATTAAACTTTCACAAAAACTCCATACTCAGCAAGTACTATTAAAGTTCTTAGTACAGGAAAAATTCCTAGTACAGGAGACAATGCCTGGCAAACACTAGCATGTGTCAATGTCTAGTCAATCATGTAATCAGGCTCAAAATCTAAGTTTGGCACTGAATTTAAAAGTTCACCACATAATGAACATGTGTATGAAATTCAACTTCATGGTAAGCTATGTACCTTAACCTAAAACTTTAACCTAAGAATGTACTATAATTTCACCTTGACATTTCTATGTTCAGTGATCCATAAAATCAGGGTAAAAACAGTAAATGTGGTGTTTAATGTATACACAAGAGTGCACACGCTGAAATGTTGCGCCTTCTTTACTAATCATTGATATCATGTTGATAGTCCTAACTATAAAGCTTTACTACAACTATCACATAAACTCAACATGATCCAAGAAAATGAATTCAAGGTCATATAAACCTGACAAGAAATATATGTACACCTTACAATCATTCAAATTACTAAATACAGTTGACCTACCGGTATTGCTTATAGTTTCTAAGAAGCAGACTTTATTAAGAAAACTAAACATTGACAAATGAACCATGGAAATGAGGTGAAGATCAGATGAACCATGCCAGGCAGACATGTACAGCTTACAATCCTTCTATACAACACATATAGTTGACCTATTGCTTATAGATTAAGAAAAACAGACCAAAACACAAAAACTTAACACTGAGCAATGAACCGTGAAAATAAGGTCAAGGTCAAATTAAACCTGCGGGACTGACATGTACATCATAAAATGTTTCCATACACCAAATATAGTTGACCTATTGCATTTAGTATTAGAAAAAAAGACCAAAACTCAAAAATTTAACTTTGACTACTGAACCATAAAAATGAAGTCATGGTCAGATGATACCTACCAGCTAGACAAGTACACCTTACAATCATTCCATACACCAAATATAGTAGACCTATTGCATACAGTATAAGAAAAACAGACCAAAACACAAAAACTTAACTATAACCATTGAACCATGAAAATGAGGTCAACGTCAGATGACACCTGCCAGTTGGTCATGTACACCTTACAGTCCTTCCATACATCGAATATACTAGACCTATTGCTTATAGTATCTGAGATATGGACTTGACCACCAAAACTTAACCTTAAATATAAAAAAGAAGATGTGGTATGATTGCCAATGAGACAACAACTCTCCACAAGAGACCAAATGACACAGAAATTAACAACTATAGGTCACCGTACGGCCTTCAACAATGAGCAAAGCCCATACCGCACAGTCAGCTATAAAAGGCCCCGAAATGAAATGTAAAACAATTCAAACGAAAAACTAACGGCCTAATCTATGTACAAAAAATGAACGAAAAACAAATATGTAACACATAAACAAACGACAACCACTGAAGAACTTAAAAAATTTTAATTTACCTATTCAAACCATATCATTATTATTTGCTTTTATATATAAATCAGAAATAACCAATTTAAAATGGAAAATTTTAAAGAAAAAAAATGGAAAAAAAATCCCCCCCCCCCCAAATTTTTTGAACCCCTTATGATTCATCACCCCAAAACTTAATAACAGCTTTCCCTTTGTGGTATGGTACCTTGCAGTACAATTTCAGAAAAATGCTTGTTTTTTTATCCCTTTTTGGCCCCAAATTCCTAAACATTTACGGCAATTACCCCCAAACTCAAACCCAGCTTTCCCTTTGTGATATGGAACCTTGTAGTACAATTTCATAAAAATCCATACACTTACACACAAGTTATTGTCCTGAAACTAGAAAATGCTTGTTTTTTGCCCCTTTTTGGCCCCTAATTCCTAAAATTTTGAGGCAATTACCCCCAAAATCAATCCCAGCCTTCCCTTAGTGGTATGGTACCTTGCAGTACAATTTCAGAGAGATCCATACACTTGAACACAAGTTATTGTCTGGAAACTAGAAAAATGCTTATTTTTGGCCCCTTTTTCCTAAACGTTTTGGGCAATTACCCCCAAACTCAATTCCAGCTTTCTCTTTGTGATATGGAACCTTGTAGTACAATTTCAGAAACATCCATACACTTACACAAGTTATTGTCATGAAACTAGAAAAATGCTTGTTTTTTGCCCCTTTTTTGGCCCCTAATTCCTAAAATTTTGAGGCAATTACCCCCCCAAAATCAATCCCAGCATTCCCTTTGTGATATGGAACCTTGTGGTACAATGTCAGAGAGATCCATACACTAACACACAAGTTATGTCTGGAAGTTACAAAAATGCTTATTTTTGGCCCCTAATTCCTTAACTGTTGGTACCATAACCCCCAAAATCAATCCCAACCTTTCTTTTGTGGTATTGAACCTTATGGTAAAATTTCATAGAGATCCATTCACTTAAACTAAAGTTAGAGTGCAAAAACCAATGTGTTTTCGGACGACGACGACGACGCCGACGTCATACCAATATACGACCGCAAAAATTTGCGGTTGTATAAAAATCAGTTGAAAGAGGCTTAACTCATCAGATGGATAAAAATACAAATACTACAAATACAAGTGGACGTGGCCGGGGAATTATACATCCAAACAACAAAAAGACACTAAGTACAGATCTGAGAGTACTCACAGTTACTGATAGCTAGTACAAAGCCACTAACAACTAATAAAAAAAATCATGCATCTAAGACTAAGTTCT